GACTCACATGTCAAAGACTCACATGTTACCGCCCCACATGCCACGGCCTCACATGTCACAGAGTCACATGCCACAGACTCACATGTCATGGACACACATTTCATTACCTCACATGCCACAGACTCACATGCCACGGCCTCATATGCCACAGAGTCACATGCCACTGACTCACATTTCACAGCCTCACATGCCACAGACTCACATGTTACCGCCCAACATGCCACAGACTCAGTAACCAGCAGAGCTTCGACAGATGTGGTCAATGTCACGAAACCTCGGACCCGGAGGTCGGTTACAGGTTTAGATTCTGTTTCAACTTCAGTCACAGGACTGTCATCTGCTAATGGTCTGACTGAGGTCGCCACGGAGACGACCACGGACACGTCAGAAAGAAATGTCCCCAAGCTCAGGACTGACCCGTACACGTCCTCAGCCTTCACAGGTTTTACCTTCAGCTATGATGACGCGACTGAAGCTCCATCAAAACAACAAACATCTCCATCAACCATGGAGATGCATCCTCCAGCCACGCCCACCACCTCCCAGACTGCACCTGGAGGTACCTTGATGCTACAGACAGAGAGCTCAGCGATCTCCATCTCCCCACCCATGTCGGCTCTGCCCACATCTCCAACAACTGCGAGTAACACGACCTCAGACCCAACGGTCCCACGCACAAGTCCAACAAACACACCCATAGCCACCGCCACATCCGTCACCAGGGAAACCTTAATGACGACCATCCAAACCATGCCTGTCTCCACAGAAACTATCCAAACCACATCCACCATCACTAGAGCCGCTGCAACAACGACAACAAGTGTTCGTCCAATGACGCCAGAGCTCAGCTCAGCTCCACCTGTAAGTCTTCACCTGAGTGTCTGTCTTTCACAGTAAAAGTACCTGGCTCATGTTCATTAACAATGACCTTTATAAACTGTTAATATGATGTCACATTCACCTGAGCATTCATCACTTCCTGTTTCAGATGGTTTCTCGCTGCTCAGTGAACGTGAGCGAGGTAAGCTCTGGTTCTCACTGGGTGGAGCTGGCGCTGACCACCAGGGGTGTGACCTGTAACTTTAGCGTGGTTAACAGGGAGGAGTCCAGCAACTGTGATGCCTTCAGAGAAAACGACTTCCTCTGTCGGGTGGAAGGTCTGAAACCTGGAACTTTGTACGAGTTAACGGTGATTTCAAGGACGGACGGAGAGAAGAGCAACACGTCAGTACGCACAGGTAAGAACTCACCTGTCTCCTTGTTCTTCTTTTTCGTCTTGTCTTTCATGTGGTGGAGAAACTATAAATCTTTGATTATTTGAACAGACTGTAAATAAAGATGGATGATACATGACGGCTCCCAAAAGTGAAGCCAAGTCATCTAGACCAACCCCTGTTGCCTGGCTGTAGTATAGCTCAAATCACTCTTCCTCCATGTTAGCAGATGGGACATTACCAAACAAAAAAATCAAATAGAATTAAATAAATGTTTGTCAAATATGTTTTTTGTCATTTCAGGTTGTTCACGATCGTTGATGTTTGTTTAAGTGTTTCTGATAGCTTTGGTTTTAATTAGGTATTCATGATGTAGAAACAGGCTGACCCCTGATTGGTTGTGCACATGCATGGGCGGGACCTCAATACACCAGCTTTACCCCACGATCACTACTGCACAGACTCTGACTGCAAATGACCTCATTACTATAAGATGGCATTGTCTTCTTCTTTGTTAAGTATATTGGCGGGTGGCAACCAACACCAAGGTGCACCACCATCATCTACTGGATCTGCCTCCTCTTCCCTTCTCAGCCTGTCCTGCATAGATTTTTCTTCTTCTCCTCCTTTGGTCTAATGGTGGATGGTCACTTACTGTGTTGGAGTGTGAAACAGAGATTTCTGGGTCATATTAAATCTTCTGTCCTATTATGTCTCCTTCAGATAATGGAGCATCCTCTCTATACCAATGATAACACCATGCTTTGTAGTTTCCCTCTTCATCCTTTATCCTTCTCTAACATACTTATCACATGCTCCACTGACTCCTCTATCTGTCAATCAATCAATCAATCAATCACTCAATCACATTTTAGAAACTTTATGAGTAGTAAATGAAGCTCAAGTAAAATAGTTAATTTAATCATTTATCCCTTCAAACTATATCATATGACTTTCCTACATCTAAAAAAAATCACAGACTCTCTATTAACTGGTCTTTTATTAACCTCTGTTTCCAAACGTGACCATGGTTCCTCTTCCTTCCTAAATCCACTCTGATGGTGAGATAAGATTCCTCCGTCTGAACCAGTATGGTGAAGTAATGAAAAAGGAAAGAGAAGAACAGCAGTAGATGGAAGTGATGCACCATGAAGTTGCCACTCGACAATAACTCAAACAAAGAAGAAGAAGTCTGTACCAACGGCAGAAACTGAGCATGTGCAGAAGTAACGTCGGGACATGGACAATGTGTGTTTGTCCAAAGTGTTCGTGTGTGTTTCCTAATTGGTTGTGGACACAGCCACTTCCTGTTTTCTAAGAAGCGTTTGTTTTCCAGCATCTCCTCCGATCCTCGAGGTGATGTGTCTGTGCACTGTGGTTACCATGACAACAGCAGGTTTGATTCTCTTCCCAGCCTTGAGGCGTCACTGAGTTAAAACAGGAAACAGGAAGTCTCCTGTTCGAGGAAACCAGGGGGGTGTCCTCCACGTCCTGCCCCTCCTTTTTTTCGATTTCCTGTCCAGAGTCACACTGTCTCCATGACAACATAAGACCCAGAACAATCAGAATCAGGTTCTGGATCTGGATCACAGTCCGATTAGTTGAACAGTGTCATGATACATGTGACACATGTTACATGTCATTTCTTCTTCATGACACAATCGTTTAAAATTGATCTGAAGAGGATCTGGATCTGGATCTGGATCAGGTTCAAAGTCAAAATGAAACTTTACATCTGATCAACACAAGACAACAGCAGCTGATGATGGAAAGTTTCTCTTGTCTCAGACCCGGTTGGTCCGGCTCGTTTGGAGGTCCAGCTAAACCCGGTCTACTCTGGTTCTTTGGATCTGACGGTGTTGTGGTCTCGCTCAGCCGGTCATGTGGACTGGTACGATGTAAGTCTGGAGGACAGCAGCTCTGGATCCAGGACCAGGACCAGAATCATGGACTCTGCAGTCCCTCGCTCTGGGTTCAACTCGCTGCTTCCTGGTTCTCTGTACACGGTCAGCATTGTGGCAACATCCGGTAACAAGAGCGCTGCACCCGTCGTTACCACGGCAATTACAGGTAACTTACATGAAAGTCTTCAGCGCCTGAGAAATGGTGGTTTTTCATTGAAATATAGGTTGTCTATAATTTTAAAGATTTTTTGTTGATATACTTTATGTCATTCGATTCATGGAGAAAATTCAACAGCTGAAAAAAATATGCAGCTTTTGTAAATGTTGAAGTTGTGGAACAGACGGTAGCGAGTTATGAGAGAAGCTCGTTTAGTCTTCAGACGTTTAATAAATCATTTTTTATCTT